GTTATTGTTCAAAGTAAGCCAAGTATAAAGACTAACTATTAAGCCCATTACTCATCCAGTTATCTTTGTGGTTTTTCTGTTCCTTATTCAATGCATATTTCTTTTATATATAATTGAAATAAATAGAATCATATAGCCTAATACTTTTTTATCCTATTTATTGTCTGCATTTCCCTTCATGTAAATAAAAACTCTTCTAAACATTATTTTATTTTTTTATTTTTTTATTTTTTTTTTTATCCTCACCCGAGGACATTTTTGCAATTTTTGTACAGATAGAGTGGGAGGGAGAGAGAGAGAGAGAAACATCGACGTGAAAGGGACACATCGAGTGGCTGCCACCCACACGACCGACCAGGGCCGGGGACAAACTGCAACCGAAGTACGTGCCCTTAGCGGGAACCGAACCCGGGTCTCTCCAGACCACAGGCCAACGCTCTAACCGCTGAGCCAAACCGGCCAGGGCCTAAACATTATTTTTAATGGCCACATTATTTCATTGTTTAAGTCAACTAAGGTTTATTTGCTCATTTCTCCTTTGATAAAAGTTTTTACTATTAGTAATCATCATAATTCAAATCTTTACCTACAGTAATATTTGGTTTTCAGATATTTATTTAGTTTCATTTTTAAAAAATATGTTTTTATTGATTTTATTTTAGAGAGAGAGGAAGGGAGAGAGAGAAACATCAGTCAGCTGTCTCCAGCACGCCCCACACTGGGGATCAAGTCCAAAACCCGGGCATGTGCTCTGATTGGGAATCAAACCCCAGGACCTCTCAGTCCATGGGACCGACACTCATTCCACTGATCCACAATGGCCAGGCACAGATTTTTATTTAGGATCATTTCTCAGAAGCGGGTAAAATGTCATTACCGGTTTTAAGGGCTCTGATACTTGAAGACACAAATTTTTGTTGTATCTTTGTAGATGATACCTCTTTTATAGTTCATAGTAACAGAGATTTGGACTAAAACTCAGGCTGCCTAGTTCTAGTTCCACACTAGTTTTGCTAGAAATTATGATAAAATAAGATGGTGTTTTTGTTCTAAAAAAACAACAAAACTTCGTTCTTTTAGTCAAATACCTTTTAAGGTACTTCAGTTACCTCCCAGGAAGGAAGTGTTGGAAGTCATTTAAATAAATTAACAATGTTTAGATTTTGTGTTTTAAGACTGAACATAAGTCCAGAGGGAGATGATACATAGAAGTATGAAAAGTTAAATAATGATTTGAAGTGTTAAATAACCATATTAAAAGTTCCTATAAAGGAGTATGTTACTTAATTTTATTCTTAACCCTTTGAGCAGTTCTGTAATCATTTACTACTGAGTGCCTGCCATGTGCCTGGCACTATTAAGTTCTTAAAATATAAACACAAAGATAAATAAGAGTCTACTTTAAACTTACTTAGCATTTCTTATTCTAACTTATTCCCTTGAGGTTCAAACCTAGATTACAAACTAAACAATATAGCTAATAATATTGATAACTCTTTTATATGATTTTCATGTACATCTTCATATGAGCCTCACAAAACAACTCTGAGAAGAAACTAGGGCAAAGAAACTTCAGCGTGTGAATGTGTAGCTTGTTTAGTTAGAATTTCATGTCAGGTCCTGATTCCGTATTTCCTGTTGGTTCCTTTTAACCATTTCTACCTCATTATCTCATTTTTTTAAATAAATGAAATAAAAAACATTACATAAGTTTAAGGTATACAGTGTGTTGATTTGATACATTTATATACTGCAATATGACCTCCATTATCTCTTGACCCTTCAATATTGGAACCACCAAAATAAGTTAATGTTTCTCCAGAAGTACTCATTCCTGACTTTTTTCCTCTCTTCTTATTGGTTATTACCCTTCCATCACACTGCAGCCAGAGTAAATTTGCTGTCTTCTCAGTGGGACAAAACATTTCATTTTATGGTTTTGTGTTTTAGATCAAAAGTTTGAATGATAACAGCAATCTCCTAATTTTGTTACTCTTCCCTGTTGTTCTTGACTAGATCAAATTCAGGGTTTTATCTTAATTTGCCTTCCCTAATAAGCCAAGATGGATCTTATAGGTGCAGGAGGGATTTTAGAGCTAGTTTTTCCCTACCTGACCTCCCAGATGTTAAGAGATGTCAGTTCTCATGCCAGTTCATACCTCCTCTCCCTGAATTTGTTTACTAAGTGTCTCTAACACCTGGTTAAGTGAATCATACTTAGTTTATGATAGTTAGACTGTTAGTTTGACTTGCTCAGCCATACATATTTCCCTCCTTACTAGACATGGTCTTTAAGTCTGTCTCTGAAGATTTTAGAGAAAAGGACAAAAACAATGTAGACTTCATAAGTTCCATGATACCCTTTTCCTTCCCTTGCTGTCTCTGCTATAGGGTTAAATAGTTGGGTTCTTGTTGTTTTTGTTTGTCCCATCCCCATTATGTACTTGATTTTCCTCCTCATACTCTGGGCTAGAGGACATGAGGCTAGGGGTAGTTGTTTGTTTTCCATTTTCTTTTTCCAGCAGTAATGGCAAGAAAAATTAAATCGTAAAATTTTCTGTTTCAATTCAATTTAAGATTGTTGTTTTTGAATTAGAGTTTGAAGTCAAAGAATCTTAATTTCTTTTTTATTTTAAATGTAATAATTACTGCCCTGGCCGGTTTGGCTCCATGGTTAGGGCGTCAGCCTGCGGACTGAAGGGTTATGGTTTCGATTTCCACTCAGGGGCATGTATCTAGGTTGCGGTTTCGATCCCTAGTTAGGGCCTGTGGGAGGCAACCAGTTGATCTGTCCTCTCTCACATCAATGTTACTCTCTCTGTCTCTCAGTCTCTTCCCCCTACCCGCCTCTCTCTCCCATCATACCCTCCTAGCCTCCCTCCCTCCCTCCCACTCTGTCTCAAAATCAATGGAAAATATTCTTGGGTAAGGATTAAAAAAATAAAAAATAAAAATAAATAAAGGTAATAATTACTTTATCTAATTTTACTAGTATATGTAAAAGCCTAATATAACAACAAATTTATATTAATAATATAATGAAATTAAAGTAATAAAAATTATCTTTGATTTTGGATTATTTTTTTATCTCGTATAAGTTAATCTGGTATAAAATTGGAACTTCACAAAGTGTTTTTGAAGCACAGTAACCCAGGTGGAAACAAACATGCCAGTTTTTTTATTAGAATAATTATTTTATCCTCACTGTACATTAAATAGATTGTATATAGTAAAACAAGAAACTAGAGGTGAGTCCATTGCTTTAATTACACATTAACTCTTTTTTGATAAGTTATATTCAACATCCCATTTAGAATTCTTCTCCATGTTTTTATTACATTTTCTGTTTTTGCTTTCAACTTGCAGTGTTTAAAATTCAATAAGATGTTAAGAGATAAGCCAGAAATGTAGACTATTACAGAAGCCTAGGAGATTTAGTTAATCTGACCTAGATGTTCTTTTGATGATTGAGATTTATATATGAAAGTAGTTCTCAATTTCAAAATGAAACATAGAAACGTCTACTGTATAAGTCAGCTGTTCTGCCAGTGGCAGAGAGATTAATCAGCCACAAAGAGGAAGAGTTTGCCATAAAAGTTGTGCTATTTAGGTCGTTGGTATTTGGATCAGCGTAATATTGAAAGTTGTAAATGAATGTAGCCCTTGCATTTTGCCATGTTCAAAAGAGGATTATCTAGTATTTCTTCATGCAGTTGATATGCAGTTGATGTTGGTTTCATTTTCAGTGTAAGACATATGAAGCAAAACAGATAATGTGAGAAAATCCTTAGGTAGAAATTATGTGGAAATGTCAATATTAATGATACTTGAGAATGTATTTCAAAAACTAATTTAACACTTACTTCTTGTATCCCAAAATGTAGATATTTGCACAGTTAGCATGAGAACACTTATACAACCTCTAGTGAACCATTTTTTCTGTCATTCTACCAGAGCTCTGAGTTGTTAGTTTCTGCTTCAGTTGTTAATTTAACATTATACAATATTATCTTAAGAAATACCAAAAAAACCCACAAGGACTTAAAAATAAGAGCTCCGATTTGGGCGGGGGTGGGGGGTGCCTGGTTTAGTCAACAAAGCTGAATGGAGAAAGCAGTAAAGGTACCTCCTCTAGACTAGAGCAGCCAGGGCTAATGAGTATGTAGTTTTCTTACCATAATGCTGTGATTGAAATGTAGTATTTAATGGTGAAGCCCTCTTACAAATGATGAAAATACTATAGTTACAGTGACAAATCCTTAGAGTTATATGTGAAATGGTTTGTCTTTTATTCCAGTATCCAGAATTGTAAAATAATTGCTCTGAAGCTAGAGTTATTGACTAAACCTTAGTACTTTCTAATTGAGGCTATAAGGATATAATGTATGTTTCAATTATTGAAATAAACTAAGATTTTGAACTAATTTTAAGTACTTAGCTTGACGTAATTACTTAGCTTTTTAGGCATTTAATTTTAGATATTAGACAAGCATTTATGGTAGTCGGAAGACTTAGCACTAAAATTTTATATAGCTTTTTAAAAAAGCAGTTGGTTTATTATTGTGACAGCTGTTAATAAGTCTGTGTAACATTAGTAATTTTTGCTTCCTGAATCTATTGGGATCTCTGAGTGGTGTGTGGTGTGTGTCTACTTTGACATAGTTTGGAGTTTGTTCATTATTTCAAGGTTTCTTTTTGAACTAAAGAAAGAATAACCATTATAATAACTAAAGATTTATGGAATGAAAATTGATCGGCAAAGCAGCATTTTAAAATAACCCAAATCTTCTAGACACAGGTTAAATATAGGTTATGTGTTATACTATGCTCTAATCCTAAAGGTCTTTGATAATTATGGGTTTAAGTTGTAGGTTTCTTTAATATATATGTTTGAGAAGGAGGCAGCAAATCCATCAAAGGAAAACTATTTGTCTTTGAGGGAAAATTAATGTGTAGCTACAGCCTTACCGTGTGTGCTGTGTGATTATTTTATTTTACAGACTCCAGGCATTAGAGCTCGACCCACCAGACTTCAGTGGTTTTGTGATAGATGTATTTCAAGTAATCAGGTTTGTGTTTAATTTCTGGTCTCAAGCACCTAAAACTGTACGTGGAAAGCAAGTGTCCTGCATGTTATAGGAGCATTTGAGGATTTTAGGAGATAACAGCATTATTAATGGAAGTTGTGTTATCTTGGTTGTTTTCCAAATAAGCTATAGCTTAATTCTTATTCCTGAGGTGCCATAGTTCCTAAAAATTCTGAGATGGGCCCTGAACATTTTAGTTTGCTTTATCTTACTTAATTTGAGCAGACTAACTTTATTTTCTTAGCAATTAAAATCTGCTTTTAGTCCTTAGTGACTAGAGGAGTCGCTTGATGGGAGCCCAGTAGAATTTCTACTTTACTTTTCCTACCTGCCCTGAAGTTCAGATATCTGTTCACATCCTGCCAAGTAAACGCCACAGGGGAAGGAGGTATAACGTTTATGTGGAAGAGTATTCTTATGAATAAATAAGTATAGGATGTACGCACTGGGTCCTCCACCCCAGATATTTTTTAAAATTCTCCAAAATGCACCTTGTTGGAAGTACCCTCAACTAGATAATTGGTCATGTTGTGTTCTTGACTCCAAGGAGTCTTTGAACCCTTTAACTTAAAAAACAAAATGTTTTAAAATTGTGATAAAATTACATGTAACATAAAATTTCTCATTTTAACCATTTTAAGGAGTACAGTTTAATGGCATTAAGTACATTCACATTGTGCTCAGCCCTTTAACTAACTTTTGAAGTAAAGTTAATTTACCTGTTGGGTAAGCTAATTTCAAAGATTATTCAACTGAGATTTATCAACTATAAAATATATCTTTTATATAATCTAGATCCATCTGTTTTTCTTATTTCTAAGGTTGAAACTCTAGAAAAATTAGTGGAGCTGACAGAGAAGCTATTTGAATGTGACCGAGACCAGCTGTACTACAATCTGCTAAAACTCTACAGTAAGTAACTAATCTGACTGTTCCTCATGTTTTTATTTTGGAGACATTTATTCTGTTGAAGGCAGCAGGCAGGAAAGGAGTCTCAGGCTTTGAGGAAGCTCCAGGGACCTTCAACAGGCTCACGTAGAAGACAGATTGAACTTGATCGAAAAATGTTATATTGTATTGCTAGACACTGTGCAGTCTTCATAATTTCTGATATTCTTATTGCAGTAATGAAAAGGTAACAGATCTTCATCAGAGTTGCACAATTTAATAGGACTTTTGAGGTCTATTCTTTTTTTTAAATCCTCTGGATCAGTGATTCTTCAACCTTTTTCATCTCATGACACATATAAACTAATTACTAAAATTCTGCAGCACACCAAAAAATACATTGTATTTATTGCCAGTTTGACAAAAAAAAAAGTGTAATTTTGATTCATTCACACTGGACAGCTATTGTGTTGGCACTTGTCATTTTTTAATTTGGCAATCTAAGGGAAAAGAGGTCAGTGACCCTGACTGAAGACAGGTATTGCCTGTTTTACAATTTTTTGTAGCACACTGGTTGAAATTGCTGCTCTAGATGTTATCAGTCATTTCTATAATTAGGTAACCATCAAAAGTGTTCATGAGTATAGATATTTTTTTAGAATAGTGCATATTATGTACAAACTCATTGCTAAACAATTTCTTTTAAAAATATGATCATGTTATAATAAGTTTTGACTTAATTCTGTATTATATACATTTTTCTACATTTATCACCTATAAATGACTACATTGAACTAGAATTTAATCAATCCCTTGTTGCTAGACATGTGAATAGATTTTCGTTTTTCATATTATAAACTAACACTGCATTAGTTATTTTTGTACCTTAATCTTTGTTCACACCCATAATTGTTTCCTTAGGTTGAATTTGTATTTATATTAAAGATTAAAAGTGATTGACATTTCTGAAACTTTTGATCGCTATTATTGTCAAACAATGTTCTAATATGTTTATACCAATTTGCACATCTGGAAACTTTGCAGTCTCTTTTAGGGTATTTGAGTGGAGAGGAACAATGCTTAGAATAGTCAGTTACTTTTCTTCAGAGATATTTGATATAGATTTATTGTCCTCTTTTTCTAATGGGAGATATTTCTCACCAAACATAGACAGCAGTAAATAAGTTGCTTCATATGTCTTTTTGAACTTGTATTTATTACTATTGGAAGTTTTATCTTGGTGGTCTAAGTAAAATAAGACTTGCTGTGAAATTTACATTTCAGTTCTTGGGTGCATTGAAATACACACTTTCCATACGTTTTTACAGTTTTTTTACCCTGTATTGTCAGTCTTAAAACTTTGGCTTGAATGATCAAATTCTGGCTCACAATAGTGAGGTTGTTATTGAATATATAGAATTTAAAAAGTTATGATTTAGTATTTAGTCCTTAATTTGTGGATTATAACATGTAATGAGTACGAATTCTCCTTCTTTCCCCCTTATTTTCTCCTTTTTGAAGAACTATTTCATGCTTAAATTCTAATTTTATGCAAACCTCAGAAAAATACTGACTTTATTCAAATGAGTCTCGGAATTTACAATAGTCCCCATAGAAGACTGTGTAAAATTTCATTCAGAAAAAAATGTCTCTGAAGCAGTTACTGTGCTAGCTATTGTGCTCAGCACTGCAGACATGAAGGGTGGTGTGCTCTGCAAAAAGAGTTAGACCTGCAACCAAGACTGACAGACAGTACCCGGTGAATAACAACGGTAAGAATGTTCAGAGTACAGTGATGGTCCACAGAAAGCTGAGAGGGACCAGCCTCACAAAATTCTTTTTCTTGTGCACATGACCTTTTGCTTTTGATTCTTGAAAAGAATAAACTTTTTTTTTTTTTTTTTTATCCTCACCCGAGGACATTTCCATTTTTTATTCAGATAGAGTGGAAGGGAGAGAGAGGAAGAGAGAGAGAGAGAGAAACATCTATGTGAAAGGGACACATCGAGGGGCCGCCACCCACACGACCCAACCAGGGCCGGGAACAAACTGCAGCCAAGGTACATGCCCTTAGCGGGAACCGAACCCAGGTCTCTGTGGACCGCAGGCTGACGCTCTAACCAGTGAGCCAAACCAGCCAGGGCAAGAATAAACAACTTTTAAGTTCATCTTAAAATTTCCTTTAGGGATAAGCAGTCTCTGAGGGTTACTACCATTTTCTTCTTAATCCCCTCTGTCTGTCGTTCTGTTTGGTTCCTTCCTCCAATTTCTCGCTCTGTGTTTGAGCCAAGAGTCTGAGGAGCTCTGTAGTGTGAGGGTGGCTTCTTGTGAGGCTAGAAGCCAGAGGAATCATTATCAGGAAGTGTACTTTTTAACCTAATTTGTATACTTCCCGCCTTCTATAGTGCTATAAATAATGTGGTTGTGATAACCTAATCCTTCCCTTTCTGAAGGAAAAGTAAGTTACCTCCTTCTGTGGCCCTTTCTCTCTATTTTGCCTTCTGACTTGGACCACTACTTAAATATGTGAAATAATTTACAAAGAACTGTGGACTCAATTTATTTGCAAAGGACCATATGGTATGGAGTGATATATGAGATTTGGTCCTATTATACTTGAAAACTCTATAGTTTGGATTGTGGATTTGTGAGATGACAATTTGTTTGACCTGGAATTTATTATAAGGTTATTCTTTTTTTATTATTTTTTTGATGTGTCCCCTTAGCGGGAACCAAACCCAGGACTCTCTAGTCCACAGGCCGATGCTCCAACCACTGAGCAAAACCGGCTAGGGCAAGGTTATTCTTTTGAATGATGTAATTTTAGCTCTTGAAAAGAGTTGGCTTAATTATTTTGTGGCATTGTTGAAGAGCAAATTTGCTTTGTTTATTAAAACAGTATCTGTCAATTGATCATCTTCCCATTTCTCTCTGTCCATTTATATACAGTATTTTTTTTTTTATCCTCACCCGAGGACATTTTTCCATTTTTTGTTCAGGTAGAGTGGAGGGAGAGAGAGGAAGAGAGAGAAAGAAACATCGACGTGAAAGGGACACATCAAGTGACTGCCACCCGCACGACCCAACCAGGGCCGGGGACAAACTGCAACTGAGTTACATGCCCCTAGCGGGAACCGAACCCGGGTCTCTCCGGACCGCAGGCCAATGCTCCAACCGCTGAGCCAAACCGGCCAGGGCTATATACAGTATTTTTTACATATTCATCTATTCTGGTTAATACTCCTTACATGTTTCATACTCTGCATTGTGTTCTATGGCTTCCTTTTTTACCTAATATGAAATAAACTAACAGGAAAAGGTAAATGCTTTCTCCCTTAATTACCAATTTTAAATGCTGGTGTCCTTGGAACCTCCAAAGTTGATCACTGATTCACTTTATGAGTTCATGAATTTTTTTTTTTTTTTTAATCCTCACCCGAGGATATTTTTCCATTTTTGTACAGATAGAGTGGGAGGGAGAGAGAGGAAGGGAGAGAGAGAGAGAAACATCGACGTGAAGGGACACATCGAGTGGCTGCCACCCGCACGACCAACCAGGGCCGGGGACAAACTGCAACCGAAGTACGTGCCCTTAGCGGGAACCGAACCCGGGTCTCTCTGGACCGCAGGCCAACGCTCTAACCGCTGAGCCAAACTGGCCAGGGCTGAGTTCATGAATTTTTAAAAATGTTTGTATTTGAATTTCTTGCAAAATTATTCTTTTTTCGTGTGTGTGTGTGTGTGGTACGTGCCCCTAGCAGGAACCGAACCCGGATTCTCTGGCCCGCAGGCTGACGCTCAACCGCAGAGCCAAACTGGCCAGGGCCGAAATTATTCTTTTTGGTGCTCAAATTGTCCCATCTTTGGTCAGTGGGAACCTCTTCACATAGGCTTCGGCATCATTTGACCTTGTTAGTCTTTGATAGTTCCTTGTTTTCAGGCAAAACAAAACAATTCAGGCTTATGTGGCATAATTCCTGTCCTAGACCTGGAGTCCTTATTTTAGAGGGGAATAATATTTCAAGACCATAATTAGATGATTGACAAATGGGGAATTTGGAAATTGCCCCATTTTATCAATAATATATAAAAATTTACCAGCTTTATAATTAAAACCCTGAACTAGAAATCTTTTAGTTTCATACCATAGAGACTATGTATGTATAAAGTGCAAACTGTTTAATATACGCATCATGTGGCCTTCAAATATAGCCCCACAACTATGTTTATTATTATAAAATTCGACTAATGAGTCAAAAATCTGGATTTGTAGCTTAAGAGTTCTCAGTGGTACTGTATTTAATAGTCCTCTTCTTTTTTTTAAATCCTCATGCAAGGATACTTTTCCATTTATCTTCAGATAGTGTGTGTGGGGGGGCATCGAAATGAGAGAGACACATCTGTTGGAATTGGTTGTCTCCTGCATGACCCCAACCAGAGCCTAGGACCGAACTGCAACCAAGGTACGTGCCCTTGACTGGAATCGGATCCATGGCTTTGGTTCTCAGGCTGACGCTGTAACATTTGAGCCAAACTAGCCAGGGTGTCAGTTTTCTTCTTTAAAGAGGGAAATGAGTTCCAGGAAAGTGATGGGATTGTAGAGGCAGAGTGTCCATTCCCTGGTCACAGCCCAGGTTTGTGGCTGTTTGATTTTTCAGTTAACAAGTATAATTGTTGTATTCATGGTAAAAGGATTTTAAGCCTCAGAAGGATATTATGAAAACATGGATTTTCTGTGCCTTTGAGAGATTTTACGCACAGATGCATATTTTGGCACATTGACTAATTTGATTGCCTCAAATTTATGTATTTTGTAATCTAGGTACATTTCTGAGAAATATTTTCCCTCAAAAATTAACTATATGTATATATGAATAACTGACTTGTCTCATGCTCTATACACAAATTCTTACCTGTATTTTGAAATATTTTTATAAGTTGCTAGTCTATTTGAATAAGTGCATCTCTGTAATATGTTGTCCTTCCTAAGAAAAGAAACCTGTCTTCCCAGAGTCCAAAGATCT